ATGATAGGCTAATGATTGGACAAAAGATTTCCATAAGTTTCTGAAGCCAATAAGTCTTCCAATCTTTGCTGAGGGGCTTTCTATACTTGCACTGGGGCACATCGTTAACATTCATCTATGCATTTGACAAATTTGCCTTTGCCTTCACTCATGCTTGTACAGCCTCAAGGTCAGCCAGAGGTGAGAGATTAGAGCCTTTACCATTTTTCCCTGAGCATGTGCAATGTCCAATACATGGGTGTGTTGGCCTTCTAGATTTCCAAGAATTTATTGGAGCTTTTGAAAGTCCTTTGGACAGTTCATTCCTTATCTTTTCCTTTTAAAGATTTGTGGTTAGTCTATCATTTGCCCCAACTGTCATCCATTGTCTCAGACAGCCATTCTGTTAAAACACTTGCCAGTTAATGTTTCCAACAAATGTCCTCTACCCTTTCAGGGAAAGGCTTTTAGTACTGGGCAACCAACAAAGTCAAGCCTTTCAAGTGGAGTTTACCAGGGAACCACCAGACGGGTCAAATGATGACAAGTTTTTTAGAATGTAGTCTGCTCTGTCCTCTTTATACTGGGAATGTAGGCTGTTATTTTCAAGGTTGCAGCTGAGCTGGGATGTGGTATGGGACTAGGGAAAATTAAAATACCATTTCAAAGATTCCACCATTTTTCTTACTTATATGCTACCCAGGTTACTGTAAAGCTTTGGTTAATTTCCAGAGCTTTTTTTATGCTATTATGGAGGCACAAGTTCCAGAGGTTCTTACTCTGCCATTTTTACTTCAGATTTCCATTTGAAGAGTTAGAAGACTTGATGTTGAAGGAAATCAACACTTTATTTTTCAGAATATATGAGAGTTTGATTACAAAGAGCTATAGAAGTGGAACAAGACCTTTTGTTTGTCAACATTGAGTTGGAGCTGAGTGGATTGAGAGATGGCTGTCCTTGTTTTGACAAGTGTTACACCCTGGAGGTGATAGTTGGTGTTCCCCTGTTTGTGGAGAGGGGTTAGCTGCAGATGGGCAAAGGGAGACAGGAAAGTGGTTATGGTTAAAGCTGAACCAGGTGTGTGGCTCAAGCTGACTGAGCAATGACCAAAGATGATAGATGTGCTGCTATTGCTTTAGTTGTCATAGGAGATGATGGGCTCTGAGTCTTCTGGTGCTTCCTCTTCTTCCTTCATAGTTTTAAAACCTGTTCTCAGCCGGGCTCAGTGGCTCAGCCTGTAATCCCACGCCTTTGGGAGGCTGAGGTGAGTGGATTGCCTGAGCCCGCGGGTTCAAGACCCGCCTGGGCAGCGAGACCTCATCTCTACAATAAATCAAAAAATCAGCCGGGCGTGGTAGCGCGCGCCTGTAATTCCGGCTACTCGGAAGGCTGAGGCGGAAGGATCGCCGGAGCCCAGCAGGCGAGGCTGCGGTGGCCAGGAGCGGCCGCGCACTCCAGTCTGGGCGACAGAGTGAGACTCCAACTCAAAAACAAAAACAAACAAACAAACAAAAAACCTGTTCTCAAGCCTTAATTAGTAAGACTAAAACCAAATTAATTAATCCCATGATGAATAATGATGACGATTTTATTTAATCTCAGTAACGGATTCATCCTTCCTGTTCTTTAGAGAAGCAGAGCAGGAAAATCAAGAACTTGGGCTTCAAGGCAGGAAGAATTGGGTACCGCTTTTACATTTATGACCTCGGGCATGTCGATCTTGGTGTCCTCATGCAAAATGAGGATAATAATACCTCCATTGCAAAGCTGCAGTGAGACATAAAGGAGACAGAGATGGCAGCCATGGTGGTGGTGGTCATCTGAGTGCTGTTTTCTTCTGATACCAGTCAATTTTGCAACACAAGCTGAGTGCCCAGCAATTCAATTGGATTCTGACAGTATCTGCGTAGAGTCAGTGTCAGATCCCACAAGCTAAAGGGCTCAGTCCTAGTGTAGAACCCTAAAAGTTAAGTTCAAGTACCTGATGTATAGAGAACCAAACTGACACATCAGTGCTTTGCAGCAGAGAAAGGTTTATTCAATTTGGCCAAAGCATGAAGGTGGGAGAAGCAACTCTCAAGTTCAACCTGCCTTTGGGCATAACTGGGTGCTTTTATGGGTGAGTTAGGTAGATGGGAGGTGAGATTCCCAGCGATGAAAGCTGCTTGTGTCCCTCAGCCAATCAATTTGGCTTCTGAATGCCATTGAGGAGGCCTGTGTGACCTAAGTAAGGATCATAGGAGGTCTGCATGACCTAAAGATCATTATTTTTTGTTTTTAAAGGAAAACAAGTTCATTCATCTTTCTGGCAGCCCCCGGGTTAGACTATCAATTATTAGTGACTACCTTCTAGCAACATAACTACATGCAAGCAATCATGCATGTAGGAAGAAAAGGACAAGGAGAAATGGAAATAAGTAAAACAAGCATCTTATGATTTTTATAATATGGATTCCATTGCAGTCCCATAAAGCTGCCACCACTTCATATGCCATTCCAAGTCTTAGATCAACTACTTCTAACTGATTGGCTATAAACTGAGGGTTCCCGTGACCTCCTGCTCAAGTTCAATAAATTGCTAGAATGACTACAGAACTCAAGACAACACTTTTCTTACATTTACTGGTTTATTATTTTTAAAATGCCAGCAAACTGCCTGATGAAGAGGTAGACAGCGAGAGTTCTGGAAGAGTCCTAGGTGCAGCTTATTCTCTGTGGAGTTGGGGCATGCCACCCTCCCAGGATGTGGATGTGTTCACCAGTCCGGAAGCTCTCTCCTCTCTAGAGCAGGAGTTGACTGGGGGATGGGGCCTGAACATTCCCACCCTCTAGTCATGTTTCTTTCTGGTGCCCAGCCCATTCTGAGGCTATCTAGAAGTCCCACCCTGAGTCCCCTAATTAACATAAATTCAGGTGTGATCAAAAGAGGCTCCTTATGAACAACAAAAGGCAGTCTTATCACTCAGGAAATTCTATGGGTTGGGAACTTTGTGCCAGAAATAGTTTTTATTATGCCACATCATCATCACCATCTCTAAGAGGCAGTCACTCCATCATTGCTTTACTGGATGAAATCCATTGCTGTTTTGCCCAGGGTAAGGCTGTGACTGCTCTGCATCCTCACCACCCCAGGGCCCCTGGGTGCCTGAGATCCCAGAACCTAGTGGTAGAGCAGGGACTTACAGGAGCTTCGTGACCAGCAGAGGGAGCAGGCATGCCTCTTCTGTGAGGCTCATCCCAACATGGTGTCATCTGGCTTCCCACATGCTGCCTCCCTCCCTGACTTCCACTTCCTTCACCTTGATTCTAGCTCCTCTAACTTCTGGAGAGCTGACCCGACCAGGGCATGCAACCAGAACTGTTTTCTAAGTTCCTAGGCTGCCATCTTCCTCTCCAGTGGTGTTCCCTAACTTTCTAATTTAGCCTAACCATTCTGCAAAGATGGGTCTGGAGTCTCCATTCTGGGTCTTCACCACACAGAGCTCTTTCAGGAACTTAGTACCTTTTGTGCCCTGAGAATTAGGCACCTGCGTGATTCATTCTGACTGGTGGAACCAGGGTTTCTAGAGGCCTCCCCCCCCCCCCCCCCCCCCCCCCACCCCATCCTGACCTCTGACTTTTGCCACCACCTGGAGATTTAAGGAAATGACTCAAACCCCTGGTCCTATAAACTGCAAGGGTTAGAAGCCCTTCCTAGAATTTGAACAGCTCTCAGCTGACTCCTTCTGTTTTACATGCCATGAGTTCTGCCTTGACATGCCCTACACCAAACCTGAACTCAACTCAGCCCCTTCACCAGCGTTCACCCAACATTTCATAAGGGTGGCAGCTTTATTGAAGGTTGGAGGGCTTACGGGAGGGCAGATCTCACACCCCCAGCCTCCTGCTGCTCTCTGCTCCCCTTCACCCTTTCTATTCCTCTCTCCCCCTTTCACAGTCACAAACTGAATTTCCTTTTGTCTACACAAAGCAAGTCCTCCCAAACCTAGGCCTCTTGAGATCTCACTTTCTACCTCAAGTACTCATCAAGGCATTGCATCATACCAAGTTTCCCTCCTTTGAGGGAGAGTATCTTCCACAGCTGGCCCTTCCCATCTGTGATGGTGATACCCTGCTGGTCACCCACCCCTCACTTCATCCACTTTCTGGCACATCCCAAGCCTTTTCCAAACTACCTCCCCCTGCAACTACTCTCCCTTCCTGTCTTCTCCCCAGAGCAAACCCTTCCCTCTCCATTCCCAGAGGACTCTGCCACTTCTGCTGTTAGGCCCCTCCTTTCTCATCCTATTTGTCTGGATGCTTATAGCAGTTAATATCCTCATGCGGGTCAGGGCTGGGGGCAGACCCACGATTCATCTTCCTGACTTGCAGGCTGTGACTCTTTCCTTCTCAGGAAAGCATTCAGAAGCAAGCGAGTGGGAAGTATGACTCTAGGAATTCTCTGGTCCCCTCTAAAATGTCATGTGTGTCATCTCTATGTGAATAGATGTGTATAGGTAGGGGATGGGTGGCCAAGCTCCTCAGAGTTGACCCACACCCCACCTGAGGATATCTTTCTCCACCCCACTTGATCCAGGCCTACTGCAGAGTGAAAGAGCTGTCCAATCAGAGCTGTTGAGACAATCATTAAAGGACTTGCACCTCTAAAGAAGGGAGGAACCTTTGATGGAGCATTTGCTGTTTAAAACAAAAAGTGATCATGTGGAGGGGCAGACAGACAGATGGTCAGAGTTCGGAGGCCAGTGGTGCCAGGGCAGAGTTCAGGAGCAGCTGTACAGGTTGAGCAGGGAGATTGAGTACAAGTCCTGGTGTGCAGAGTAAGCTGGCTAGAGGGGTAAAGCAGAAGCCCTACCTACTAGCGAGAGGCCAGCAACAGAACTGACCAGCACAGAGAGCCACTGAGGGTCACCCCATTGTGGCCCCGGGGTCATGCAAGGAGCGGCAGGTTAGGGAGTTTCCATGTGGGCTTAGTGGAGGCAGGCACCGTGCCACACCCCCCAGAGGCTGAGTGTCTCCACAGGTTCATGACCGCCTGGATCGCTACTGCTGTGGCTTCGAGCCTGAGCCCTCAGACCCCTGTGTGGAAGAGAGACTTCGAGAGAAATGCCGGAACCCAGCTGAGCTGCGGCTGGTCCACATCCTGGTATGTCTCCTCCACACCGTCCCCTTGTCACCCCAGACCTTGTCTTCCTATTTCCTATAGGAGATGCTGTTAGCAAGTTTCAAACATCATCTGACGCTAGGGTTTCCCTGTCCTCTTCTTTTTAGCAACAGAATCCTTTTTGGAATATTTCTAGGAAGCCACAATGTATAAAACTCACAAAATGGAGCTTTCAGAATGTGGTTGAGGTGGGAAATTGGATGGGGGCTGTAACCCTATTTTCATTGTCTCCACTGCCACCCAAGGGCTCCTGGAGGCAGAGTTTGAGAACTGTGTGTCTAGAAAACATCTTCATTGTGCCAGTAAATGAGGACTTATGGCCCTACAGGAAAGGGAATCTCCAAGACCACATGGCTGGTTGGTGGCAGCATTAGGGCATGAACCCAAGACCCTGATGGCTCACAGGCTGGTGGTGATCAGAGCAACAATATGCTGCTCTTGTTAAAACTAGAGCCCAGCATGAGAAGCCATGTGCCAAGGCCATCAGAGAGGGGCTGGTGTGGCAGAATAGCCCCTTCTATGCAAGAAGCAAAGTGCTTCCCCAGGGAAGGGCTTCTCTGTGTTCTCCTGCAGTGAGGTCTGGTGTCCTCACAGTCTCATGCTGGCAGTTGCTTTTGGAGGGCAGCTGTCAGCATGGTGCCCAGGACTGAGGTATAGGTAGACCGCACCACCTGGGGGCCAAGGCTGTCCAGGGCAGGTGCTGAGAAGTTTCATCCCCTGACTCTAGAGCCATTTCTCCTTCACCCTGGTCAAAGGCAAACAGATTCGGGAGAGGTAAAGCTTTTTTTTTTCCTTTTTTTCTTTTGAGTCAGAGTCCCATTCTGTACTCCAGGCTAGAGTGCAGTGGCACACTCACGGTCACTGCAGCCTCGACCTGTTGGGCTCAGGCAATGTTTCTGCCTCAGCCTTCCAAGTAGCTGGAACTACAGGTATGTGCCACCACACCTGGCTAATTTTTTGATTTATTGTAGAAATGAGGTCTCACCAAGTTGCCCAGGCTGATCTTGAACCCCTGGGCTCAGGCAATCCTCTCATCTCCACCTTTCAAAGTGCTGGGATTACAGGTGTGAGCCACTACACCCAGCCGAGGTAAAACTTTTTACATCTATCCTTTAGCCCTGATGGCCAGGCATTTCACAGATCCCTTAGGATAGCAGGTTTTAGAGGGAAGAGTCACCAGGCTTGGAGGTCAAGGTGATCCCTGGTGTGTGGAGCAGGGTGAGGAGGGAGGGGAGGTAGAGAGAGGAGGGAAATTGGGGTCCTGGAGACAAAAGTTCACAATTTAAACCTAAGCCACTGGAGAGGATTATGGGAAATGCTCATAGACTTTTGGAGAGTGTGTGGGAATGAAATGCATGCGAGTGGGGGCCAGAAGACACAGCCTCCCGTTCCCAGCCACACCATGTTCTTGAACGTACTAAAGAATTCTCTGGTGTTGATTCTACTTTTGAAAAGGTTTAGGAGATGCTGTACTTTTTTCCTGTGGAAATAGGATAGGGTCAGTGCTTTCTGAGGACAAGGACATCCGTTTGTTCTTGGTGATGCTCAGGGGAATGTCTGGGTATGCAGGCAGGAGTGATATAGAGGGGGTAATATATGTGAGCATTATACATCACAAAGCTGATGGCCTTGAGGAGCGGGCTACCTCCACACCTGCCAATCCCACCCAAGCTCCTCATTTCTTCAGCCACCAAGACAGGATCAGTCTCTCTGCCTTGCAATTTAAGCAGGTGGTGCTGTAGCTTAGTCCTATGAGTCCAGGTTTGAACTGTGTGATCTTGTACAAATCACTGAACTTTTCTGTGCCTCTGTTTCTATAAAATGGTGCTAATACCAGTGCCCACCCCCTAAGGTTGCTGCAGGTTTCATTGAGATGTCACCTGGAGACGCTTAGCACAGTGCACAACTGGGGGGACCATTTGTGGGGATAGATTATGGTACGGACAGGTCAGAGCCCCCCGCCCCTTAACCCTGATGGAGTCCATAGGTGCCAGTCATACTTGCACTGTCACCCACCTCTGTCTCTGTCTCTGTCCACTTATTCCTCTGAGGTCCGGAACAGTGATCCATCTCATCTGGTCTACATTGATAATGCCGGCAACCTTCAGCACCCGGAGGACAAGCTGAACTTTCGGCTTCTGGAGGGCATAGATGGGTGAGTCAAAAGCTTGGGTGAGGTTTGCGGGACTGGGGCTTGATGGTCCTGCTACAGACGGTGGGACCTTGAACTGTGGCTCCTGAGTAGTCCACAGCCCATCAGACAAAAGCCATTGATCTGAGCTTCAGGAGGTGGTGGGGAGGATGGGAGAAGGCAGGAGGTGCTCAGGAGGAGGTGGAGAAGTTGAGAGAGGGTACGGTTGGCAGGGTCTACTCCCAATGCCCAGAGGGCCTCCTGTGCCTGCAGAGTACCAACTGCACTGTGGCGTGTGGAAAGGGTAGCCCTTCCCTTGCTCTGGGGGGAGAGCAAGCCGGTGACCCTGCCCCTTCCTGCTCACACTTGGTGGGCAGCTCAGCCTTCCTAGGGCTCTTCCTGGTCCTGTAATTGCCAAGTGGAGTCCATTACAGCAGAACTGATTCACCTGCTTCTCTGTGGGCCTCTCAGAAAGCTCAATCCCCTGCTTGCAAAGCAGAGTCAGTTGAAGGGTTCTCTGATCATGAGATAGCAGGCACAGGGGACTTTGCAGGCCAACTTTGCCCTAGTTCACCAGCTAGGCAAGCTCTGGCCACATGGCTTTGCCTTTCATTGAAACTCTCTAAGGTCACTTTTGCTTTTCCTTTCTGTTATGGGGCTCTGGGAACTTGGTTTCAGGTTTCCCGAGTCTGCCGTGAAGGTTCTTGCATCAGGGTGTCTACAGAATATGCTGCTCAAGTCGCTGCAGATGGACCCGGTGTTCTGGGAAAGCCAAGGTGGGGACCAGGGACTGAAGCAGGTCCTCCAGATCCTGGAGCGAAGAGGACAGGTGCTGCTGGGACACATCCAGAAGCACAACCTCACACTCTTCAGGGATGAGGACCCATGAGCCCCACCACTGCCCAGGCAGGGCCGTCACCTTGCTGATGGGGTGCCTCATAGCACAACCTTGAGTTGGTGAGCATCCATCCTTGAGCTCACTCATCTTAAGGAAAAATGGGAAAAGCCAGAAACCAGAGGGACATGGAGATGTCATGGGATGTTTCACCTGCCTGGGAAGACAGAGGTCGTGTGGAGTTCTTAGTCTCAGTGCATCCCTTTCTGCCTTCTTGGCTCTGGTAATGTACTCCCTTGCACCAATAAGTTTATTCTAAAATGTTCTGTGAGCTACTCCAGATACTGTGAAACTGTGCTTCACCCGTGCATATGCAGAGTTGGGCAATACTGTGTACACGTAGAGATGTGGAGGTGTGTGGGGCATGTGTGTGCAGCTGCAGGCAGTTATGGGACAAACCTGATCAAGTTGCCCTTGCGGCCCAGAGCTGCTGTGGATGAAAGTAGACTCAGGCTTAAGAAAGGACACACGAAGCATTTGTCTTTCTAGGCTTTAAAATTTCAATTCTTACTCACTTATGTGTTTTGGTTTAAAGATTATGACAGACCGGGCGCGGCAGCTCAGCCTATAATCCCTGCACTTTGGGAGGCCGAGGCAAGAGGATTGCCTGAGCCCAGGGGGTTCGGGATCAGCCTGGACAACTTGGTGAGATCCTCATCTCTACAATAAATCACAAAAACTAGTCAGGCGTGGTGGCGTGCGTCTGTAGTTCCAGCTACTTGGAAGGCTGAGGAGGAAGGATTGCCTGAGCCCAGCAGGTCGAGGCTGCAGTGGCCGTGAGCGTGCCACTGGACTCTAGCCTGGGCGACAAATAGTGAGACTCCAACTCAAAAATAAAATAAAATAAAAATAAAGATTATGACAAATTCATAAATAAGAGAAGCCTATAAGACAAAAAGCGAAGGTTCCAGAAACGCTCTAGAGATGTGTATGTGTATGTTATTCACACTCACACTACATGTAAATTAAAAGTCAATAAAAGTGATGCCATGCTTTGTTTGTGAACTCGTTATTACATTTTTACCTTATTTACTATATTCTGCATCTGCCATCTGAATTGACCTAGTCTTTATTGGTGATTGCAAGGAATTCCAAGGCAGGGATGTGTCCTATTTTATTTAGCCATTCCCATAATCATGAACATTTAAGTGGCTCCAATTTTTCATCAATTATAAACAATGCTGTCATGAAGATAATTACATGGCGTGCAAGTATTTCTGCCAGCTGGATGCCCATTAAGTGGGTTTCTGGGGCAAAGGGTATAGACATTCTGTATTCTGAGAGAAACTGCCAAATTGTCTGCGACATAGTACTGTCAATTTATGATTTTCCCAAGAGGGGAGAGGACTGATTGTTTCCTTATACCAGTATCAGCCCTTGACATTCTCAGGCTTTTTTGTTTTATCTATGTGATAGGAAGATTTATCTTAAAAACTGCATTTCCTTAGTCACGAATGAAGTCAACTTTCCACTTATCTACCAGGTATTTGTATTTTCTTTTCTGTGAGTTTTCCTTTTCTTTTAAGATATTTGTCCTTTCCCTGTTAATTTGTTGGAAATCTTTGAATCTAATGACTGTGATCATTCTTTTCTCTGTTAGACACATGTAAATGTTTTCTTTCAATCTGTCATTTGTCTCTTAATTTTGCATATGTAGTCCTTTGCCAAGTGGAAAATGTTAATTTCTACATATTCAAATTTGTTTATCTTTCTCTTTAAGTCTTCTGATTTTCATGCCTTTTTAGAAAGACTGTCACCACTTCAAGATTATTGAAATAATCTCTTATGTTTTATTTGAGTATTTATACAGTATTTTTTTTTTTTTTTCTGGATACAGGGTGTCACTCTGTAGCCCTGGTTGAAGTGCAATGGCATGATCCTGGCTCACTGAAGTCTTGACCTTCTGGGCTCAAGTGATCCTCCCATCTCAGTCTCCCAAGTAGCTGGGACTACAGGTGCATGCCACCACACCTGGTTCCTTTAAAAAAAATTTTTTTTTTTTTTTTTGTAGAGAGGAGGTCTCATTGTGTTGCCTAGGTCTTGAACTCTTGGACTCAAGGGATCCTCATACCTCAGCCTCTCAAAATGCTAGGATTACAGGCATGAGCCACCATGCCCGGCTATCATATTTATTTTATATTCACTCTAAATCTATCTAGCATTTATATTTGAGGAGTGTATGAGTTAGGGATCTAACTTAAGTTTCATTTTCCCCCAGATGGATAGTCAGTTGTTCCAACATCATTATTCAAAGGTCTACTCTTTCTCTGCTGCTCAGAAAATATACTCTTGTAGGCCAAGTTCCCATATGCACAGAGGTTCATTTGTAATCTCTGTTCTGATACAGTTTTTTCAGTTCCTTAATTCATATGACACTTTAAATTAAAGTTACTTTATTATTTTTTACTATCTTACAGGGTGAGTTCCCATCTTTTCATTCTACTTTAATTTTTTCTTTGCTACTTTTGAGCATGTCTTTAATATGATAATGTCAATCTATAAAGCATGCCACCCTTCTCCCTTTGTCCTCAAAATCCCATTGATGTTTTGATCAGGATTGTGTTGAATTTATAGATCAATTAGTGGGAATCTAGCTCATTTGAATATTGAGTGCCCTCATTCAGAGACTTGGTTTATCAATCCACTTATTCTTGGATAATCTCTAGTAACATTTCAAAGTTTTCTTTCAAATAATCTCATTTTAAATATATTTTGTAATTTTTACTGCTTTTGAGGATGAGTTCTTTTTCTTGATAAGATTGTTTTCTTGGTAGATTTCTAGATGCATATCTTAGAGTTTTTGAGTAGAAAATTATATTTTTCAAATAATGATATTTTTATGTTTTTCTTTCACAGATGTGTGTGGGTGTGGATGTGTGTGCATGCACACCTCTCATTTATATCTGTTGTCTTATTACTTTGGTTGAGATCTCTCTGGAGAAAAGTTGAATAACAGCAACAGTAGTAAGCAACCTCATCTTATTCCTGACTTTCGTGGGAACACTGCTATGATTTCGCTAGTGAGTATTATTATATTGAAAGAAATCATTTCTGATAAATATTTTTCATTAAGTTAAGGATATTTCTTTTTATTTTTAACTTACTAAAAGAATTCTTCAAAAATCAAGAATGGGGATTCAATTTTACTAATTACCTTTTCAATGTCTAGAGTTCTTCTCCTTTATTTTCTAATGTTGAATAATCTTTACATTCTCATAATAAACCAAGTCGGCTGAAGCATTTTAGTATTTTAGGAACTACAGAATTTAACTTATCAATATTTTATTTAGATTCTTTGCATATGTATTCATAAATAGTCTGAAGTTTTCTTTTTCTGAGTACTCCGTGGCTGTCTTACTATTGAAGTTAAGCAGACCTCATAAAATAAATTCAGAAACTTACCATCATTTTAATGTTCTGCAATAATTTAGATACAAATCATTTATTCCTCGAAGGTTTTGCGGAACTCTCCTGTAAAACCATCCAGTGTCTTTTGCTACGTCTTTTACAACCTGGTGTGAGAGAGAGGCAGTGGGGGGTGGGGGGAGCAGTCAACCAGCATGCCTGGCTTCCTCGGTGGGCATGGGGATGCAGAAGCGTTCTGGGCAAGGCTAAGGCCCTCAGATAGTTCAGGCATTTCTCTTAGGGTCACTAATGCTTGTCTCTCCTTGATTTCTTGTCTTTCCATCTCTTTCTCCCTTTGATCTCAGCTCTTTCCAAGGATACCCTTGCCCTTATCTTTTACAATTTTTATTCTAAAAATTTTTTTAGAGACAAGGTCCTGCTCTGTCACCAGGCTGGAGTACAGTGGTGCCATTATAGCTTACTGCAGCCTCGACCTCCAGGGCTCTAGTAGTCCTCCCGCCTCAGCCTCCCAGGTGCAAGGCTACCCTTGTCAAGTGATGCTGCTCCTCCTAGACTCAACCAGTTTCTATTTAATAGCCCCTGCTTTACCTCCTGTCTGATGGACCTATGCTCAACCAGGGGTGGGAATGAGGCACTGGTCACCCTAGAACATGGCAAGGAGAAAGAAATACAAAGAAACATTTGATTGCCACAGCAGAGTTGGGGCCTTCACATCAGGATGAGACTCATTCTACATAGTGATTTAAGCAGCCCCTTTGGAAAAATCAAACACAAGAAAAAAAAAAAGGCTAATCCTCTCATATCACTGAGAGACTAAACAAAACAGACAATGGCCAGACTACATGACATAAGGCATAAAACTCTACCCACTACCTGTGTAGCAACCCGCCCAGAGAACTAAACCTCAGCATCTGTAGCGGTAGCCTAGTAAAGTGAGGACTTGGTCAATGACTTCACGTTTCTCTATTTTTGTCCCTGCTTCCAATCAGGACCAGCCAGAGAAAGGCAAATATGCTCTCCTAGTTAATCACATAGGATGCCCCACTCCAGTTAGCTCACCTCCAGCTCCTTCCATGCCAGCGGGCTCCAATCAGGGCACATTTCCCATTTGTCCTCACTATAAAGCTTTCCCACTCCCCTGGCTGCCTTAGAGTCTCTGCCAAATGCAAGCCATGGTGCTGACTGACTCCCTTGCTCTAGAAAACCTCCATGTGTTCTCACTTGTGTGGTCTCTGTTGATTTCCATGCTGCATAGCTGCATAGCTGGGGTTAAACAGTTTGATGAGGGTAATCTAGGTGAGGGTGGCAGCTGGCTGCAAACTCAGCCACATACTAAGAGCAGGTTTCCTTTACATTGAAGTAGGTCTGGGGTGGCTGCCTGGGAAAGGAGGAGTAATCTGCCTGGTAGGTGGGTTGCCTGGTGTGTGTGTTTGTGTGTGCATGTGTGTGCGTGTGTATGTGTGTGTGTGAAGAGTTTCTCTTTGAAAACACCAAGCCAGACTCTTCCCATCAAGCCCCAGCTTCCATCAAGCCCATCTGTGTCCTGATGTGAACAGGTCTGCTCAGCGCAGACAGGGATACATGTGGGCAGACACAGAGCAGCCCCTCCCAGCTTACCCAGTGCACACCAACCACCCGCAG